CCATCATCATCATCATCATCATCATCATCATCATCATCATTATCATCATCATCATCATCATCATCATCATCATTATCATCATCATCAGTTGTAAGAACCAACGAAAGATATTTTTCGATCACGGAAAGTCGTTCTCCTGGCATCATCCTGTGGAGCATTTACGCATCAGAATTGTTACTTTGCAGAAGGTGAGCTGATAGACGCTTCCGGTGAAACCCACACGCCCATTGTTGTTGCATTGACACCATCCATTCATTTACTGATTGTCATTCATCATTATTACTACTATACTACGAAACTATGAACGCGTCCAAAGAAGTGCGTATTCTGCTGAAAGGCTTCCAGCAACCTTGTGGGTAGTTTCCTTTAAGGAAAAAATCTATTGAAACGTTTGTAATGTACTACTCATAAGGTTGCTGAAAATCCATCGACAGCCCACGACCGGTTTCGCCCTTCTTGGGGCTCATCAGGTAGGCGCAATCCCCGGGTTTCCGTCAATCTTACGTTCTACTTGAAACCTAGTTTAAAAACAGTTTCAGTAGCGAATATACACTCATCTGTAAACTAATTTGGTTCTTTCGAGAGACTCACCTGGAACACACCATAAACGAGAGATTCAGCTGGGTTCCAGGTGAGTCTCTCGAAAGAACCAAATTAGTTTACAGATGAGTGTATATTCGCTACTGAAACTGTTTTTAAACCAGGACAATTTTGAAAACCGTCCTTCTGATCGTAGTGTTCGTATAGTCTTCATGTAAACGCACTCACCCACACTTGGGACTACGCAGAAAATTGCATTGTATTCTAGACTTCAGCAACGTTTTATTATGTTGATCTGGATCACTTTGTACCTGCCACCTTCGCTGGATGCTTGCTATGATCTCCGCATACCAGAAGAGCTCTTCATTTGCGCTCCACCCCAGGGGCCATACCAAAGTGGCGCTGTCGTATATATCAGTCGGTCATCTCAGCTCAGGTTACCAAGTTCTCAATCGTCATGCCACACGAATGTTTACTTCTGTTTGTGGTTATATTTTAACAGCACATAAAACCCAGTCATCAGTAGTGTTCTTTATGAAGGTCGTATTTCTCATCTTTGGAATTGCTGTGAGTGACAGGCACGGATATCAGATAAATTTGGCTAGTTCCGTTTCTGCATTGAGCCGGTGTATGCCCATTGCACTCATTCAGTGTCTGTCCTGTGTCTCTGGTTCAAAGGTCGTTCTTTTTGGTCCGTCCCTTATTTCGCGGTTATCGATTTGCCATCCAATTTTATGTCCTTGAAGGCACAGAACATTATCTCACTAATTACCCTCATCCGCTGCACTAATAAACTGTCACCTTAGCACCAAATTATTGTTCACACGAAGCCTGTAATGCGTGCACTGAACTGATTGGAATATATGGAGGGATTGGGAGAAGTTTGGTGAACTGAAGATCATAATGCTGAACCATGATCGATCGGTGAAGGTGCAAGGTACGGCTGCTAGGGTCCCGAGTTAACGTTTCGAACTGTAGAGCAACGGTTTTGCGGCTGTCTTTTGCAACTAAGCAAGGAATGGTGACTTCAAAAGTTTGACTGGAAGGACTTGATAAGCTTGAGGAAACGCAGAGAAATGAGTGCACTCCCAATGTGGGTAGTGAAGTGATCTAGAAATTTTGATTGAGACCTCTCCTCGCAAGCAAAGTTAATCTATGCCTTAACGCCGAGATAAACTGTGCGGTTCTGAGGTCATTGCCGGGAACGACCAATGAAAGGAGGAAAGCGCTTAGCTGCGAAGCTATTGAGTAACATACACCAACTAAACAGTTACATATTAGTGGATGAGAAAGCAGATCTCTCATTTGCACATTGTTTTTTAAAACTGAATATGCGTCTCCTCCTTAAATTTTGCTCGAAAATTATTGACTATCACGCATTGTAAAAGAATGCTTCGGGTCAGTTCCACAAATTCTGTAATAAACTCCACCTTCCATCAAAGGCCAAGTGGATTTACAAGGAAACCACATATTACTCGCATGCCTCATCAGTAATATTCGCCGTCACATCAGCAATGCGCAGCTTACGAAACTCTTGTAGGAAGTCTCGAACCTGAGAACCTCGAGCATGTAGCTTGGGCACCTAACCAGGAGCATCTGTTAAATGCTCCAACGGAACCCGAAAACCAGTTATACGAACGAGAAAACGGGGAGCACTAACAATGTCCGCTTGTTGAGTAAAATTATTACAATAGATATATATGCAAACAAGGGACTTATCGTTTTGCAGGTACAGTTTGGTAAATCCTGTTGTAAATCCGGATACAGGTTTCGTGTCTTCTTCGCTGCTGTAACAGCCACACGTAGTCCTGGATATCCGTGAGTGAAACGCCATAAAATTCCTGAGTGGCTCTGCTCCGAGCTGGGCGACGTTGGGTTGTTTCGTGTTACTGTGCTGGCATCCTATTTGTAGGACGTTTGGGTGTGTGTGGGTGTCAGCACATGACTTTCTGCTACCGTGTCAGACGGTAGACAGTCGATATCGGATGTTTATCGTGGTTTGTACTATTAGGAAAAAAACGAGGTCTTGGGATGAAGGGCTTGACTGTGAGCTGTGTAGTCAAGTTAGTCACGATTGTAGCGTGATTTGTGAGTGCAAGGAAAAAAATAGCTCTCGTGATCCAGCGAGTGGCGGTGACCTGTACAATCATGTATGTGGCGAAAGGGTAGCTACACTTCTGATCAGTGGTGCAACTCACTCGCACTTTGACAGGATATACCATTACTCACTCATCTTTCACTGGGCAATGGGTTTGCGGTTGTTTTTGGTACCCAAAAAAATTTTCTTCCCAAAATCTGACGTTTGTGACATTGAGGACTTACCAAGCTTAAGGAATCCGAGGAAAACGAATGTATCCTTGACTTTCACTGCTGATGTCTAAATCAGGTGTGCGTGGACCCTCATATGACTGTTGCTAAGATAGTTCTTTATCGATCACATTGGATAATTCACTGTTGGACGCGAACAGCTGTAGGTTGATGAATATGTGTGTCAATAAAACAGAGTTTTTCTAACACTTTTCTACTTACAGATAGGAAAAACCGTTACTTTTACCACTTTGAAGGTGCCGGTGTCCCTTTGGAACTACCTTGTCGCATGCACAGTGGGACACGGCCTTACTTTTTTGCCAGGTCGGTTCGTGATACGACTCTCCGCTGTTTTCTCCACTGCTTTTGAGTCAATCCTTCCCCATAAACTCGGCGGGAAATTAATTATGGCGACTGCAACCTACGATATACGTTTTGAATCACCAAAGTGTGTTGCCCTTCCGTCAAAGTGACACGTCAAGGGACACAAACAAAAAGCTAGTGTCAGCGTGATTTATAGTATACAATTTCATGACATTTGCTTGTAAATGTTTAGCCACGAAGAGTGACCAACTGATTTGACGATGCATGCACAGAGCTTTCTACTTAGTTATATATCCCCCCTGAATGCCTTATGTTTTGCAACAAACTTCACTCGATCGGTTATGACGTCTTGTGTTTTTGTTCACAGATATCATGAACAACAAGCAATTGGCTGTTTGGGGCAAATACATGATCGACTTCATTTGCGATTATCTGGATAATATTGAAGATCAACGAGTCATTCCGACTGTCGAACCGGGATATTTGCGTCCACTGTTGCCCGCGGAAACGCCGGAGGAGGGAGAGCAGTGGCCTGATATTTTAGACGATGTGAAAAAGTTAATAATACCAGGGGTGAGTTGATTTTAGGTGTGCCTGTGTTCGTAATGTAGCATTTTCATCACAACCAACAACAGCAACTGCACCTGCACCTCCACTAGCACAAAAGCAGCGGCGTCATCAGCACCGCCACCATCACTGGCATACCACCATCAAAACACTAAAGCACCAGCACTACCGACATCAGGTACATCAATACTAGGGCCTTACCCAGAGCATCGATATGCTAAACAATCAAGCCATCCACGTCAAGCTAGTATACAGGATAATGTGCCACTATTGGTGAGTACATCTCCAATTTTGCAGGGTCGGTAATAGGCAAATCTGAACCCATGAAAATGAATCGCTGTCGTGACCTCTAAATATTGATACAGGCTGAATGATCGGCGTTTGGTGAACACTGATCATCATCGACTGTGCTTCTGTGAGATGCCTGAACACTTGTCAACCATTTCTGAATTGATTGATTGGTTGATCGATCGGTCGATTGATTGATTGACGGACTGACTGGTGATTTGGGGGTCTCACTAGTTTGCGGGCATTCTGAGATTATTTTTAGGAATTTGACCCTCCTGGCCCCTTTCCTTTTTGGCTGTTTGATGTAAAATTGTCGGCGTGGGTCAGTTTCAAATGATCGGACCCGGTTTTCGACGTGATCGACACAACGTCTCGGTTGCAGCAATGGGTCTGTCTTGGGTGGTACATGTGAAGCAGTGGCTACTGGCGTTGGTCTTGAATGCTCAAAAGCTTCGAGCAACAGGTTGAGGTCTAATGACTACTCTTCCGCTGTTGGAACAGGGCGCTCAGTCGACGGGAGCTGATTGGCAGGCCTTTTCATACCGAAGACCACACAAGCACTCGGTCTCCAGACCAGAACGATGGTTTCCCTCCTGTCAGTGAATAAAACCACGTGAATGTTATCAGGATAGCGTCGTGGGTAAATCTCAACCGTCTTTTCATCGTAAATACAGCTGAAGAACAACCGTCAGGAGACTGCGGATCACGAGTTGCTCCATACTTCATAGGAAACGTAACCAAGACTTCTGCCCTTCCACTTTGGTCAACGCGAACTTAGCTGTCCTTTTGTCCTTTGCAGGACAAAATGGTTTCCGGGTTACAGAATATTGAACAAAGAGCGGCAGTTTTGTTATGGTTGCCACTGTCGTCTCAATCATAGCAAAGACTTCAGGCCACTCACTGAAAGCATCAACAACAATGAAGAAGCTCCGCTTGTTAATTAGTCCCACAGAGTTCATGTGAATGCGTGACCATGGTTTTTCCGGCTTTGGTCAAGGCTGCAGGTGATTTCCGGCAGCTGCGCAACGGAAACAGCTATGGCATACGTGCTCCATAGGCTCACCCATACCGGACTGTCACACGGCTTATCCCTGGATGTCCATCGTAGAAATGGGCTACGACCCGGCAGCGAAGTTTGGTGAGAACGACAATTCAGTCACCAAAAAGAGGACGAGCGTTGACAGCAGATAATGAACTCTGTTGACGAAAAAGTTTCCAGACTAGTTGTTGGCCAGCTAGTTTGGTGGCACTCCATTCTGTAGTACGCTATCATTTTTTATGGCACCACGGACCGTGTCAAAAGCCATCGGTGGTTGGTTCATAGTCTCCAAAACCAAAGCACGAACTTCCGGTTCGAAGGGAACGACTGCGTCAAACCGGGTTTCTGATTGCCTTCGTCTGGTTTATGATTTCCGGGTTTGAGTGAATCCCCAACTAGCTTTCCGTGTCTGTCACTGACTTTCTTTGCAGCCAAGTCGATCGCACACTGAGCACTTGTGCTTCTCATGAGGACACAGTCGAAGGATATGAAATTCACCCCATTGCCGACGGGGGCTTTGCTCCGTCCAAATTTGCCATCATGGGAAGATGCCTCAAGGTCTTCCAGGCAATACTGAATGCAGGGTTAGAGAATAATCTCTACAAAACGGCCGTATCATGTTTGAGATTCAAGAAGCAATGGTACTCGGGGGTGACGGACTGCAGCATTATTTCGAAGATTGTTCAATCTTGTTTAAGAGATTCACTCTAACTTCACTTTCCGAATGTGACTGACGGCCCCATTTAAAAATTAGGCACTTACATCGGTCCACTGTCATGCTAGATGACTTGAACTGCTTACATTCAACATCGACTTTACCAGCGTAAAGGACTCACACTCCTTTTTAAGTAGTTTCATTCGTCGATAGAGAATATTAAACAAAGATGAACTCTCACCGAAAACTGTTGAAAGTTGTTGCAAGGTTCCGTCAAGGCCCAGGTCCCGTGTGTTCCTTAGCAGGAGGAATTCGGAATAGCGCGTGTTCCTTTGTCTAATAAGTGCACTCACAAGGCGTAATCTTTGTACATCAGTTCGACTTTGAAATTAACTCCAACGTTTTGATGAAGGACACTACTCACAAGGTTGCTGAAAGCTCTTCGACAGCCCACGACCGGTTTCGCCCTTCTTGGGGCTCAGCAGGTAGGCGTAGTCCCCGAGTTTCCGTCAACCTTATGTTCTACATGAACGTTTGTTGAATTTGTTGAATTGTGAGCTGTCGCGTCAAAGTTTCCATCGACCGTAGTTGTAGGCCTTCGAACATATGTTGTAGTTGCAGCAAAATTTTCTTCAGTGCTTCAGCAGTTGTAGTCATGCTTGTGTAAGCTCGGGCGTCACCAATCTGTTGTATCTACTGTTGTCTCCGCCCCAAAGTTCTGGTGCCGAAAAAAGGCTCATCAACAAGGACCACAACAGTTTTAATGCAAACAAGTGAATGTAAAAGTGGCAAGGGGCCCCGCTCTATTAGAGTTCGCTTTTGATATTGCTGCAGGCTGCCTGATTAGCGTTTGGTGAACACCCATCACCATCGACTGTGCATCTATAAGACGTCTGAATACTTGTCATCGTCGGTCATACTTCTGTGGCATGCCTGAGCACTCGTCAGTAGTTTCTGAATTGGTTGATCGATTCATCAGTGGATTGACTAGCCCGGATGACTGCCGGCTTCATTATTAAGGTTTTGGCGGTTTAAGGGTCTCAATAGGTTTCAGGCTGGACACAGACCGACCGGTACCTGTTCAGTACGGATATTTCGTACTTTATTTCGTCTTCCGACGGCCTATTAAGGTTTCCGTTCCGCTCCCCCGTATGAGCTGTCTCCGGAGGCTGTGTTGCAAAAGGCCAGCTAAACTGCTCTTCAAAATGTTCGATCCATCTTTCTGGACGAGGTTTCGCGAGTAAATTAATGAGTCGCGTTTTTCACTTGCTTTTTGGGGCCAGTCGATCGTATCAGTCGATATAGGACAAGACTGTTTCCTTATAAACATCCTTCCCCATCCTCCGAACTTTTGGTATCCACCAGAGCTCTCGGTCGTTCTTTACGCTCTTCACCATAAGGCGTTTTAGGTATTTGCGTGCGCTGTCTAACCCATTGCTTGGTGTTACGCATTTCTTGGGATCAACCAAGACTAGCAATCTTGACGGTATCCAGTGGCAAGTTGATTGTATCGAAGAGGTCGAGCAGACAGCACTAGCAGAGCTCCTTTTACATTTTACCATGATTCGTTCACGTGCTCACTACCAGTACAGTATTTGTTCGCTTAGAGCTTTGTTAGATTAACGCAGATCGAGATTGCTGAGCTATGGTAGTTCTCCGAAGATGGTGGATCGACATGCTTCTTACCAACTTTCGGGGTCTAAAGGGAAACGAAGTGCAAGGCGTGCTCGCACCATGGCGTGATCGAAGAAAACCGTAGTCTATAAATGTGACCATCCAACGGTGGACGATGGCCACTTGATCCAACTGGGTCTACGGTTACTTTGCATTTAGTGGCCATCAGGTTACGCGATGTGAACGTTTATGGTAATATTTGTGCTGGCCAGAAACAGTTCATAATCACTGTCTGTTGTCTGCGACCAGCATCGACTCTGAAGCGACCGTCCAGATGTGATTACAAGGGGATCAAATGACGGACGTGGGCATTCGTATGATCACAATGTCAGTGGTTATTTCTAGACGAATACGTCCGGAAAACTATCGATTGCAGGTATCATTCTCAGCGTCAGAACTGTAGTCCGTTGGGCCAAGTATTCACCGTTTTTGTGTCGAGAGGCACTGAGCTTGATTGAGCTGGGTAATCGAACGGCGCAAAGGTTAATGTTCACTGGGAACCAATCTAGCAAAGCCCTCTCAACTCTGGGGCTGAGTGCAACTCCCATGCCATATATTCCAACAGTCACCGCTTGCGAATCACACAACACACAGGGAAATATGAAATAGCAGAGTTCCTCCTTGGTTCTGTGAGATGTAAGATCACGATCCAGCAAAAGTTGCTCGTGTTGCGGCAAAGGGATGCAGAGGGACGTCGATGGACACAGAGCTGTGCAGGTATATGATACTTCTCGGTTGACCTGGCCGAGAAGGGTTGTGGTTAAGGTACCCAGCCTTGAGTGCATGACTTCAAAGTTCGACCCACAAGGCAGCGGGACCTTGCTTTTACTATCTGAAACAAAAATCTGGATCATAATGCAGCAGTTTTTAGGGTCATCTTGGAGGATTCTCCTCGGAGCCGATGACTCAATAGCCAGACCTGCTCAGCCGCAAGGAGTTGGCCTAACTCGATGGTGCAGTAAGTCTGGCATTACTGTCTCACTCCTGATGCGACTACGCACAGTAAGTGCCTTACGAGCAGCATCAGACTCTTCCGTTTTGAAAGTAGATCGATTAGGTTGAATAATGCACCAGCGATCACCGTCAGGCGCTGGGCGGTTTTTAGGGCCGACCTTTTCTAACGCGTCCTTCCTTGGGAGAAGCCAACATCACCACTTTCATGAATGTGAACATGCTGATCTTCTGGGGGAGGGGGGGGGAACAGCTTACTGCCTTCACACTCCTGTCCCGCAGGACAACACTATCATACCAAGTCCCTCTGCTCTTGGTTTGACTGCTGTTCTCTCGCCTTCTTGGCATGGTTGCACCTTGTGAAACGAAGTTCGAGAAAGGTTAACGTACAGGATCGTTGCAGAAGATAAAACAGACCACCACGTAGATGTGGTAGCTTTTGGTGGGAGTTGTCAGACCGAAAATACTTGTTTTCTGATCCTTTGATCCCCAGGCCCATTTACAAGGGAATTCCAGCTTTGATTATTGTGTACGAAGAATGTGTTGAGGATCACTCGAACGACTCTAAACAGAACAACGTCCAGCTGTCTGCTTCAATGTCCGCAGAATGAGGAAGGGTATATGGAATACGTACATGATTACGGCTATGCAAATATGGGCATTCAATATTGTGTCAGCGAAATAAGTTCAAGAGAAATGTTTTACATGAAGTGTTCCAAGGACGTTATCAGTCCATTCAATTCGTGTCCAGATGAGTTGGAGGATGAGGTATGTGAACGATTATCCTCACAGTGAAACTGAGTTCTTTCGCGGCATCTTTGTCTTTGGTTAGCCTACCATTTGAACAACTGATTGCATGCTAACTGCACCACTCCTGGTAGCAGGAAATCGCTTGGTGACTTTCCAACGAACAGTTAATGTTCATCCAACGAGTGGTCATCTTGAGTAGCTCTAATGTACACAATGTCACCACAGCTGCTGAGTTACACGACCCAATGAACATAGGTTATCGTTCGGCCCAAATTCAGCAGCCCTTGTCGCAATAGACATGATGTGATTGGCTGAACCAGATTATAGACTCGTCTGAATGTGCATGCAAGGCCGCGTCTCAAATCGTCCATTGGACGCGTTTGCCACCGAGTCATCTGCTGGTATTGGGGCCCCCCAGAGGCGCACGCAATTTGAGTTGGGTTGCGCCCACCGGTGGTATTTTATGCGACTTTTAGGACTGATCGTAACGTATGTAGGCGGCCCTAGTCTCTGCCGGTTCAAGTCACTGATTGGCTCTTTCTATTGATCCACTGCCATGCCAGACACTGACGCCTGTCGTGTTTGTATCACCGTTAATGGACGGTCTATTCTGACCATGTTACGTTCTACGTACGGGACATAAGATATTGGTCTTGATATTCAACACATTGTCCTCCCACATTCCTATTCCCGATCAGTTGTGGACGGGTCCAGTTCTTCAACCGATACCCTGTATTTGGAATGCTTGGAAGATGACGTGTACTGACAACAATTCATCTCTAGCATTTTTCACTTCTTCCATGGAGGTT